AGAAAATAGATAGAGCATATATATAAATTATAAAAGCACAAATAAAGCCAAAATGCTTCTGAGGTGAATCAGCAGTGTAATAATTTAGATTATTATTTCAAGTGAAAATTGACTGCAGTCCAAGTTATTTTAAAAAGCACAGAAAGTAATAAAAAAAAAACTTAAAATATGAAAAACATCTCAGAAGCTTATATTAAAATGTTTCACCTCAAGAATATGGCCCCATCTTCGCACAATTATTAAGGTCTTTTCTAAAAAAAAATAAAAAAAGGTGACGTTTTATTGCAAAGTCTTTGTTGAAAATAAATTTATTGAAAACGGTTTAAAAGTGAAACTTCCCAGCACGTGATATAAGCACACATGCACATTTTTCGGACGACATTCCGTGATTGAATCATATGTTTACACCTTCAAAGCACATTTAAAACTGATGACGCACAGACGATTATGCAGCAGAAAGAACATTTAAAAAGAATAACAGTGGTGCAACACTCAGCTGTCAGGTAGGTTCTTGGCTTGCTCAGAGACATTAAAATAACACTTTATGAGAAGGCTATTGTACTGCCAGACCTAAAAAAACACATATTTTGCTACCAGAGCTCAAGACTGTTTGTACAAACCCTTTATGCTGCAGCTTATGTCCATAAAATGAAGGGATTTAATGAGACTCAGACCATAAGAAGGGATACATGCATTATGCCAAGTTTATGTCAACCATCAGGTTACTAGAATATCTGCCTCTTATTGGGAAAAAAAAAGCATACATTTGGTAAGAAATACACAAAACAAAGCAGGAAAACTGTCTGCTAATCTGTTTTAGCCTGAGTGGGTGAGTGATGTGACCTCTGTGATGTGGATGTAGATTATGTCCTTTTTTTAATTATAATTTGTGTTAAACCTTGCCTTGAAGGTGTTCAAATCAACCAATGCCATTTAAAACTGTAGAAAATCTAACATGTCACTTAGTGCCACATTGTCTCAATTTAAAACACTTAAAAAAAACCACACTCAGCTAACAGCAGCGATGTGGTGCACACTTTGTGTTCTGCTTAACCCACTGTACGTTCATAAAAAAAAAACAGACAAAGCACACACACACACAATTCCCTCCCAGATCCAAACAAAATAAAAATGCATTAAAACACCTAAAAGTCAGTAATGTCGTCATCGTAGCAATCAGCATTCTTCAGAGCACATCACTGAAAATCTAAATATTGAAGTTTCTCCAGTGCGGAGACAACAGAATGGATGGCTACTATGTTCAAACATGCATGAATTAAATAAAAAGCTACTTCTTTTGCACCACTATCCTAAAAGCATGATATTTGAAGTGCCTCCTTGCACTTTGTGTAAATATTGTAGGTAACAGATTATTATTTTCTTCCTTTTTGTTTTTGTTTCTTTTGAGAGGCATTGAAATGGTCTAGAGATATATAGTTGAACTGCCATATTTTAATGTAGACAAACAAATCATATATATGTCTTGAGTGAGACTAGATTAGACAAAATGTATAGATGAGCTCATGTAATAAACTGTTTGTCTTTTTGTTTTCTAATTGCTGTCAACTAGCTGTTTTACTCACCTGTCACACAACGACATAAAAATATATCTTTTTTTTTTTTTGTATCTAATGTACGCGTTTTGAATGTTTGTTCCATAAAGATATAAGCAGTGTGATGTCATTTTCAATGTACATACATAAATATATAATTGTTCTGTTCAGTGGCAATGCAGACATTTGTTGAAATGCTAGTGATCCTGAAACAAACTGCATGAATAAGGAAGAAACCCGGTGAGAAGGGAAAGACGAAGAGCTAAACGAGACAAAAGGAAGTTTCTGGTTTGAAAAGAGGGTCAGCCTGACTTGTTTCGGTTGACGTCGTGGTTTTAAAGTTAAATAAAATAATTTTTAAAAATGCCTTTGTGCAGGTCAGAGGGAGGAATCCGAAACAGCCAAGAAGTTAATTTGAGTGACAGAACAAACTTTAGAGAAAAGAGCAACAATCCTCAGGTGACTTATCTGAAACATCCATTGACATTTAATATATATCTGTTAGAACTCGTGTCAGCCTTCACTATCTTCACACAGTCCACCGCCGTCACGCTGTCAAAGAAGTCCGCAGAACTTCCACTCTGTAAACTGCCTTTACTCCCAATGCCTTTTTGCTTTTTTACACTGAAACACACGCACACACACAATACCTGATGCTTGTTCAGCTAAGTAGTATACGGCACAACAAAATGCCAGATTACCTATAGGTCGTACTTTTCTACTGAAATGTGTCGTACTCAAACAAGACTCGGAGAGAAACGATGGCCTGTTTTCCCGCCACCTACAATGGGCTGTCGTGGTCCAGATGTTTCAGGCCTGCCCTCCGTGTAGAGCTGTTGGAATCAGAGAGTCTGTGTGTGAGATAATAAGCAACTGGGGCGAATAGAAGAAACATTCTGTGCTTGATTTAAAGTATATACAAAAAAATGTGTTTCTACCTATCAATAAGTGTTGTACCTTTGGTGTACATATACAAATATAACTAATAAATGTTGATTCATAACTAAATTTTTGTCTGGTCTTTGGAGATTATTGTATTATTGGTCCTGGTAATAAACCACTTTAAATAGTTTATGTGTTTTCAGTTTGGTTGACATTCTTACAAAAACTCGAATACTTAAAAAGTGTGAATATCTTCAATTGGTTTCAGAGGGGAATATTGTGGTTTACAGTAAACTACATTTATTCGACAAGTTAGTTATTTTATGGAAAATACATGTTATTTCAAGGAACACAAAATAAGAGTGCTGTTCATAAGAGAATGAAGAAGTGAAAAGTGGATTATTAATTTGTTTTAGGTACTGTTCATTAAGTAAATGATAAATGGGCTGTACTTATATAGCACCTTTCTATCTTATCAAGACACTCAAAGTACTTAACACTACAATCTGTGCCCTCATTTACCCATTCATACAGCACGCTACAAAGAATAATCAGTGCTTTATCGTATTCATACACCGATGGGACATACATAGGAGGCAATGAGGGGTTCAGTGTCTTGCCCAGGGACAATTCGGCATGTGTCTGCTGGTGGAATCGAACCCCCGACTCTTGCATTGGAGGACAACTGCTCTAACCACTCAGCCACAGCCGCCCCTCTAACTCATGAAACTTTATAAAATACTAAAAGGACAGGTGTCAGGTTGGTATCAACCTTTTAAAAAAGCCAAATCACAAGGATTCAAAGTGAGTTTGAGATTGGGAATGGAAATAAGTAATAATAAAAAAATATCTAAGTTCCTGAAACAGATATTTGAATAATTTAGTCGACCAACAGACGCAATTTCCAGAAATAGAAATTGTGAACAGCACTTAAGAAGACATATCTAATGTGACTCCATCATTTACTGACAAATAGTCATTTTTTAAATTAATTTTCAATAAAATGACAACTACGCTACATTAAAAAGGAAAATTAGACAAACGCAGAACAGAAAAAGATGCATGATTTTCAGTTTGTTTTTCCAAACATTCATATAATTTATTTTCTCATTTGTTTCAAGTTTATGACATTTTTGCTGCTTCCATTTTTTAGATGTTGACACACTGATGCTTCAGCAGGAAAAAAAAAATGTTTCTAGGTGGTTGGAAAGCTCACGAGCAGCCATCAATCCTCACTATTTCACTTAAAAGACATGTAAAACTTTAATAGCTATAAAATTTATAACAAATTATATTTTAAAAAGTCTTGTAAAGATGTTTGCTGCACATCATTCTGCACTGAATGTGTTAAAGTACTAGGTGTACTTAAAAAAACTAAACAGCTTTTGTTCTTCTCTGTCAGTTTGACAGCATGCATCTCCCTACTGGAAAGGCGCCATCTGTATCTTTCAAAATGGCCATCTTTGTCTCAGTCTCTTCTTCTTGTGTTAACATGTTCTTGCATCTCAAACCCGGTGCCATGGCAACCTTACTTCCTCCTATGTGGGAGCAACATGCATTTCCTGTCACGCCATTCAACCGTTTCCTTTTGTTCCCACATTTAGAGAATAAGTGGTCAGAGAACACGACGTTCCAGCGTACCTTTCTCGTTACACTTTTATTTTATTCACGACTTTACAAATCTTTTCAGCAACTTTTTTTTTTTCCCCACTGTCAAATCTACCTACTCTAGTACATAAGCTTTTTTGGAAAGCAGAGCAAAAGTGAAAAAAAGGCAAGCTAGGAAAATCAGTTTGCTATGACTGCATATAAACCAGCTTTTTCTCAATTATAAAACAGGAAACAAATACCAGCGGTCACACGTGGATTAATATTGATATGACACAATGTGAAATACATTCAGTCTACAGAAAGCTCAATAGAAAAACTGCAGCATGTGGTTAACATGTAAAGAGCAGCTGGTACACAAGCTTCATTTTTAACAGCCCCTGGATAGAAGGAGCATAAAGACGACATCAGGGTCAGGTTGTCATGAAGAAATCCTTTACACTGTTTACAGTTATTAACCTTCTATAACTGATGTACTACTCAGTCCAGAATTTACAGCTTGGCTTTCATCAATTATTCACCAAAACTGTGTAGAAATTGATTTTTAGACATGATGACTGTGGTTTAACCACTATTTTTTTAGTTTTAAAATTCTACATTGGTTTGTGCCTAATATATATAATATTATGTTTTATTCTTCATGATAAAATCAGAATACCTCATTCCAAACTTTAATTAACGTTCAATTGGGCATACACTATTTAAATTTGGAAACTATACAACATATTTCATTCATAGTCTATACACTTCATTTTGACTATTGCAAAATCCTTCTGCAAATGTTTGCCTCTGAGATATTGTTTCTAATTAAATAAGCCTCAAAAGCAGAAAAAATTCTCCACTTGAAGGTAACAGAGACGCTCACTACCAAAACACAAGAAGTACTGGTAGCTGCTGCAAAAGTCCTTTTCAAAGAGACACGTTATGTACACAAACCAAATCCACGTGACATAAATTAAGATATAAAAGACCTCAGTTTTCTTAAAAGAAAAAAACAAAACAACTATGGTAAGCTTAAAAAAAGGATACAGCATATTGTTCTCACGTTTGAATTATTGGAATATTGTGGGGAGAGGGAGGATTAGTTTTCCATCTAAATAATTAAGCAAAATAAAAGCATTTAAGGTGACTGATTTGTTATTTTGTATTCAGGCCTTAATGTTTTTTTTTTAGGATTCAGCAAATGAAATGTGCAAATAACGGATCTTTTTTTTTTTCTCAACAGCTCATCCCCCTCCCACACCTCAAACTCATATATGAAGCTTTGTATTTTTTACGAAGCATACAAAGTCATGAACACACCAAACTGGAAAAAACACTTTGGTGACCAGGTTTTAGTCCTAAGTAAATTGTCACCAAACAATTTGCTGCACTTTATTTTGAAAGGTCTGGTTTCTTTTAAAGACAACAGACAAATAAATGCTCCAAATATCACATCCATGCTTTCCTAGTCAGTGTCCATTCACTGCTGCTCACTGAAAGCAGTTTACACACCCACAGTTTAGGCTCCCCATCCCAACTTGTCTTCTTTCCTTTCTTTCTTCGCTCCGTGTCTTCTCTTCGGACCACTCCCTTCCCAGTCCTGTCAGCCTTGACCTTCTCACGCCTGCTGGTCTTTGTCTGGTGACTCCTCTAGTTTGATGACCGTGAACTCCTCTGTGTTGCCATTCTCCTGGATGTTCTCCTTGTTCATGAGGGTCACCATTTCTTGCTCTCTGTCCTGGTTGTGGGAGCTGGAAGCTGCGGCGGCCGTCCCGTTGCCCTCGCCGCCATCTTTGGCCGTGATCATCAGGGTTTGCTTCCTGCCGCACCAGCTAGAAAAGAACATTCAGTAACTATTTTATTCACCGTCTTGTAACCTGCAGCAAAATCTTGAAAAGTTAAACACAATAAAGGCCAAAAACATGCTGTATGGAAGCATTTTTAGTGTGTTTTTCAACTCGTACCTTTTTCTTTTGGCAGCGACTACACAAACAATAAAAATGGCTACCACTGCCAAAATCACAATAGTAACAACGAGCCAGTCTGTAGGGACAAACAACAACAATTAAAAGTGAGTGCTAAATGAGTAATGAAGGAAGAAAAACGTTATATTCCCAGAGTTTTCCCCAATCGGGCATTGTTTGGCTGCAGTCAGTGTACTTCAGGATGTTTGAGGTTTACTTGCTCACCTGATGAACTGTGGTTTTCCCGTTTTTCATTCTCAGATTCAGAAGGAACCAGGGCCCTTCCTTTCCCAGGTATTAGATTTGGAGCTGCACAGAAATTAAATCAAAGGCATCATTTGACCCATCTTAGATACAAACATGGTAAACATGTAACCTCTCCATATTCATGACATATGTCGTTGCAACAAATTGTCTTGAATCACATTAAACTGTTTGTGTTGTTGCCTTATTTATGAAAAACACAAGCTAGTTTTATTTTATTTTTTAAAACTTGAATTAATGTGTTTTAGCTGACACAAGAGGGCGTCCTTATGTTCTTAAAGTTACTTCAGACTCCTGAAACTTGTTGCATCACATTTAAGATGGGCTGTTCTTGTTAAAGTGTCTCTCCATACAAGAAGTACGCAACATAACTCAAACATTGTGATTATTAATGAAAATATTATAAATTAAAGACATCGGACCAAAAGACAAGTTAACTGCAATTTCATGCAGTCAAATAGGAGTTGTTGTGCAGAAATATAGTATACTGACAGATTATTTTTAACACTAATACTGAATACTGCAGTAAGTTGTAGTCATAATTTTGTATATACACTTTAGCCTACCTATATCATGTTTGAATATTATTTCTAATACATGCTAAACTAGAAAATTACAGGGTAAAGTTGGATTGGTTTGACCATAAACTTCATTTTAAGCCAAAACTTGACCAAACTGAACCTGACTGGCTCTGCTTTAAAATGTATTGGGTCATTTTAAAGGAAACCACAACAACTTGTACTGTGGTGCTTGAAAGTTTGTTAACTCTTTATAATATTCCATATTTCTGCATAAATATGACCTAAAACATCATCAGATTTCACACAAGTCCTAAAAGTAGATAAAGAGAACCCAGTTAAACAAATTACACAAAAATATTATACTTGCTCATTTATTTATTGAGGGAAATGATCCAATATTACATATTTGTGAGTGGCAAAAGTATGTGAACCTCTAGGATTAGCAGTTCATTTGAAGGTGAAATTAAGAATCAGATGTTTTCAGTCAATGTGATGTCGATCAGGTGTGAGTGGGGCACCTTGTTTGCTTTAAAGAACAGGGCTTGCCCTTCACAACATGTTTTGTTTCATGGCACGAACAAAGGAGATTTCTGAGGAGCTCAGAAAAAGAGTTGTTGATGCTCATCAGGCTGAAAAAGGTTACGGATACAGATACAGATATCCTTTATTGTCGTTCGCACCACATGTGGTGGAGCAAAAATATGTACACAGGGTCCCAGTTACATCCAACAATAAAATGTAAAAGAAAAACAGTAATAAGGTCTAAAATATGAACTAAGAAAAACATCAACTAAATATACGCTAAGCACTAATAGCATAAAAACAATACGCCAAACAGCAGCATGAACATGAGTCTGTGTGAGCAGATTAATTTTAATGAACACAGCAACATGAAACAGATCAGCAGCAACATGATGTGATTTTTCACAGTGATTATCCTGTTTAGATATTCATGAGTCTAACAGCTTCAGGGTAGAAGCTGTTCCTCAGTCTAGTGGTTCTACACTTAATGCTCCTTAACCACCTTCCTGAGGTTGAGCGGGGCAAAAAGTGTGTGTGCTGGGTGAGTGGGGTCCTCCATGATGCAGGGGGCTCTCTTCCTGCATCTGCAGGTATAGATGTCTGTGATGGTGGGGAGGCTGACTCCAACAGTCTTCTGTGCAGCCTTCACCACTCTCTGCAAAGCTTTTCTTTCTGCAGCTGTGCAGCCTCCATGCCACATGTTACAAACCATCTCTAAAGAGTTTGGACTCTTTAAGGGCGGCTGTGGCTGAGTGGTTAGAGCAGTCGTCCTCCAATGCGAGAGTTGGAAGTTCGAATCCACCAGCAGTCACATGTCAAAGTGTCCCTGGGCAAGACACTGAACCCCTCATAGCCTCTGATATGTGTCCCATCAATGTATGACTGTGATCTAAAAGCACTGATTAGTCTCTTTAGAATGATTTGTTCAATTAGCTTTGTAGAGATCTAGTAGAGTGCTGTATGAATGGGTAAATGAGGGCACAGATTGTAATGTAAAGCACTTTGAATATCTTGAAATAAGATAGAAAGGTGCTATATAAGTACAGTCCATTTACCATTTACTCCACTGATCCACAGTAAACAGACTGTGTACAAATGGAGGAAATTCAAGACCATTGTTACCCTCCCCAGGAGCGGTCGACCAACAAAGATCACTCCAAGAGCAAGGTGTGGAATAGTTGGCGAGGTCACAAAGGACCCCAGGGTAACTTCTAATGTTAATGTTCATGATTCCACCATCAGGAGAACACCGAAAAACAATGGTGTTCATGGCAGAGCTGCAAGGAGAAAGACACTGTTCTCCAAAAAGAACATTGCTACTCATCTGCAATTTGATAAAGATCACGTGGACAAGCCAGAAGACTGTTGGAAGAATGTTTTGTGGACGGATGAGACCACAATAGAACTTCTTAGTTTAAATTTAAAAAGTTTTATGTTTGGCGAAAGGAAAACACTGTATTCCTGCATAAGAACTGCAACCCCTCTGTGAAACATGGTGGTGAAAGTATCATGGTTTAGGTCTGTTTTGCTGCATCTGGGCCAGGGCGGCTTGTCATCATTGATGGAACAATGAATTCTGAATTATCTCAGATAATTCTAGAGGAAAATGTCAGTACATCTGTCCATGAACTGAATCTCAAGAAAAGGTGGGTCATGCAGCAACACAATGACCCTAAGCAGACAAGTGGTTCTACCAAAGAACAGTTCAAGAAGAATAAAGTTCATGTTCTGGAATGACCAAGTCAAAGTCCTGACCTTAATCCAATCCAAATTTTATAGAAGGACCTGAAGCGAACAGTTAATGTGAGGAAATCCACCAACATCCCACAGTTGAAGTTGTTCTGCACAGAGGAATGGACTAAAATTCCTCCAAGCCAGTGTGCAGGAATCACGAACAGTTACTGGAAACATTCAACTGCAGTTATTGCTGCATGGGGATGGGGGGTCACACCAGATACTGAAAGCAAAGGTTCACATACTTTTGCCACTCACAGATATGTGATATTGGATCATTTCCCTCAATAAATAATGGTATAATATTTTTGTCTCATTTGTTTAATTGGTTTCTCTTTATCTACTTTTAGGACTTTCTGAAAATCTGACAATGAGGTCTAATTCAACAAAATAATTTTGGAATAGAAAACTCAACTTGGTATGCTGGGTCCATAAAGTTATATAGCTGAGTCTAACTCATAAGTCAAACCTGCTGAGTTAAAACTACCTTGGCTTAGTTTGGTCCTAAATTTGACCCTGTGCTGGTCTAATTCAGTTGTGTTTAATTAAAAAGTTTTTATTGTGTTTTCTTTGACATCTCTAACCAGAAGCTCAGTTTTCTCCTTGTGTTACTCACATTTTGTAGGCATTTGTGTTTTATGTGGCACGTCAACAGACTTCGGAAAAGTCTTTTCGTCCAGCTCTGAGGTAGGTATCCCAGATCCAGAGTCCGGTTCCACAGGCGTGACAATGGAATCCACACTGCCGTTTTTCCCTCCAAATATGTTCCCATCATCAGAAGTTTCAACTTCTGACTCATCTGCACTTGGCTTTGTAGTTAAAGGTGCAACAGGAGCTGATGTGGTCTCATCTATAATTTCCAGCAGACTGACTGTCTCAGTGGCTGCTGTAGAATCACCAGCCTCGACGTCGGGATCTTCCTCAGGTTGTGAGGTTGGAGTTGTGTTTGTCTTTGCCTCTTCTTTTTCAACATTTAGAGGTTCTGTTGTCAGGGGGAAAAAAACACATATTTATGATCTCCATGACTTTTGATTTGGCTTGTGAGAGCTATTTTCTAAATGAAAGTGATCATATTTACCTTAAATCTATCTTAAAACTATGTTTGAGCTAATTACACTATTGTTGCTCTCTGCTATTGATCTGTTCATGCTTTACAGCCTATTTCTGGAAGTCTTGGGCTTTGATCATTGTCACCTACCTTGTCTATCAGAGTAAACAGTCAAAAAAATACAAAACAAACAAACAAAAAAGAAATGATACTTCAGCATAAATAAACCAATATGTTATATTTTGTTTTAGACATTTTAAATCTACATATATTTGGGGTTTACATACACATGGCTACAGTTTTATCCGTAATCATCGTTCATCTTTCAGAATTCAGTCAATTCTGTGTATGCAGTTCAAATAGTTAATTATTCGATAAACATCATATCTCAATTGATTCTAAATGTGCAGTTAAAAGTGTTACATTTATTTATTATTATTTTTTTTTTAATATCATCACTGAGATCATATGTTTCTTTAAGGCAGGCTTGGTGTGAAGGCAGCCTAAACAAGACTATGCAACATATAATGTGATGAGATAAGAGACAAGTGTCGGAAAGTAATTCAGAAGATATGGAGGAAGTTAAAAAATCTTTGAACTTTTTGAGTGCTGAAGTGACTAAATTGAGTGCAAATATGACTAAATTATCAGCTAAATGTGATTTACTAACAGGACTGTCTGAAGAAGTGAGACAATTGAAAGAACTGATGACTAGTAAAGACAAAAAAATAGCTGAACTGGAACAGAAAGTTGACGACATGGAACAATACACAAAAATAGACAACTTGGTGATCACTGGACTGGAAGTTAGGAACCGAACTTATGCAAGAGTTGTTGCTGGTACTAACACAGCAGAAGATGCACCACAGGAAGAACTACAGACTCTGGAGGAGCAAGTAGTGAATTTTTTACAAAGCAAAGACATTGACATCGAACATGAGGACATTTCAATCTGTCACACACTGCCCAACAAATCAGATAAAGCCAAACCATCCATAGTCATCAAGTTCATTAGCAGGAAATCAAGAAACCATGTAATAATGCAAGCAAAAAAACTGAAGGGAACAAATGTTTACATAAATGAACATCTAACTAAAAAAAATGGAAACATTGCACGTGAAGCAAGGTGGTTGAAAAAACAGAAAAAAATAGCATCAACTTGGACAAGAAATGGAAACATCTGGATCAAAATACAGGAAGGATCTCAGGCTAAGATAATAAAAGACCTGAAAGATCTGGAAAGACTAAAATAAGCTCAGGAAATGATAGATGATAAATCATTGACACAACTTCACAAGCAATAAATAATCAAAATATATAACAAACAAATACATTATAATATGGCAACATACGAAGACTTAGAGTTTAAAATATACAATGTTGAAGATGCGATTGATACAAATTTTTTCCCTGAAATACAAGACTGTGAATATTATAATGAAGAACAGTTTAATGACATCAATATAACTAATGGAGGTCTCTCTATTATTCACTTTAACAGTAGAAGTTTAAATGCAAATATATCCAAAATAATAGATTATTTAAAACAGCTAAACAGAACCTTTACAATAATAGCACTGTCGGAGACGTGGCTCAACGATGAAAACACAACTTATGTTCACATGGAAGGGTATGAATTATATCATGTGAACAGAAGCAACAAAAGAGGTGGTGGAGTGGCTCTATTCGTTAAAAATGAAATAAAATGTAAATTAATTAATGAAATGTCAATAGTTGTTGATAATATCATGGAAATAATAACAATAGAAATAATAAACAAGAATGATAAAAACATATTAATAAGTTGTGTATATCGATCTCCAGGATCAAATATAGAAATATTCACTGATAAAATGGTACAACTATTGGACAAGAGTTTTAATAAAAACATTTTTTTGTGTGGAGACTTTAATATTGACCTGGGAAATAAAACAGATTCAAATAACATCAGTACATTTACAAATTCATTGTATAGTTTAAATCTTTATCCGTTAATATCAAAACCAACAAGAATTACAACTCATAGTGCTACAATAATCGATAATATTTTCACAAATGTAACAAATGGGGATGTGATGGGAGGTATTTTAATGAGTGATTTGAGTGATCACTTACCAGTTTTCATGATTTATAAAAATGATCAAAGCATTACAAAAGAAATTACAATTAAGGAAAAAACAATAAACACATCAAAAAAAGCAATGGACAAATTAAAAGATGATTTACATAAACAAAGCTGGAAAGACGTGTATGTTGATGATGTGAACAGATCATATGATGAGTTTATGAATATTTTAGGAGCTCTGTATGAAAAGAATTGTGTGCAAAATAATTGTACAAAGAGAAATGTTGTTGACCAACCATGGATGACGAAAGGGTTGAGAAATGCTTGTAAAAAAAAGAATTATTTGTATACATGTTTCTTGAAATTGAGAACACAAGAGGCTGAAGAGAAATATAAGAAGTATAAAAATAAATTAGTAGGGATTATAAGGAAACACAAGAAGGAATATTATAGTGATTTATTAAATAAAAGCAATGGTGATATGAAAGCAACATGGCAAGTAATAAATAGTGTTCTGAAAAGTCATAAAGCAAAAACAGGTATTTCACAATATTTTTTGAAGGATGACAATGAAATCCATGATGAAAATGAAATTGTAAATGGATTTAATCATCATTTTGTGAACGTTGGATCAAGCCTTGCTGCTAAAATACCAAAAGTAGACAATAATGTGAACCATTCAGTTATAAGTTGTGACAACAGTATTTTTCTTAATGGAACTGACAAAGAAGAAATAATGAATGTTGTAAAAAATCTTACAGATAAGAGATCAAAAGACTGGGTGGACATGGATATGATGTTTGTAAAGGACATAATGAGTTATGTTATCGAGCCGTTTACATATATTTGTAATTTATCATTTTCAAAAGGAATATTTCCAGACAATATGAAAGTAGCTAAGGTAGTTCCTCTCTTTAAAAATGGTGATAAATGTGTGTTCAATAATTATAGACCAATATCCTTATTACCACAATTCTCAAAAATTCTAGAAAAACTGTTTGTGACCAGATTAGATAAATTTATTACTAAACAAAACATTCTAAGTAGCAGTCAGTATGGGTTTAGAGCAAAAAACTCTACATCAATGGCTCTCATGGAAATAAT